GTACTAATTATCATTTTTGTGTACCTATGTGCTATTCTGATGGTAAATATGTTTTACCATATTCCAAAGGATAAAGATTAAAAAAACACACAACAAATTATGGATGACTAACTTTCTAAGATAAGAAGGGATAAAGGGTCATTGTTAAAGGTAAGCACCTAAAAATAATATTTTGTAAACTTTGACCACTATATGAACAGAATAATATTTTTGTAAAATACAGATTTTGTAAATTTAGAATAAAATAATGGGAGAACTGCTTGCTTTTAATATAACAGTTATAACAATTGAAACTTGTAAATTATTATCAGTTCAAAGTTATGTTACAAACAGAGGATTGAAGCTGACTATAATAGTTACTATATCATTCCTTATTATAAATATATGTTGTATATTTTAGGGTCACTGCATCTACTGTGGTGTGTTCCAAACATTTTAAACTGAGGATTACAACTGGACTCCCCTTAAAAATGGTTCTTTTCCATCAGTGTTTAATTGGGTTGAACAAACAACTCCAATTAAGAAGGCCACTTATAAGAAAAATTCTTTCACCAAAGAAAATGCTCATTGATAGGTAATTTTTATTATAAAGTCACTGATTTAAAACCCATATTCATCATTTCATTTAAATACATATAATATAACGCTTATTTGTGTTTAATAAATGTATTTGCTTTAAATATAGAAAAAAAGTCATTTAAATTCTCACTGATACTGAATAAATAATATGTTTTGGTAAAATATATATCTTTCAGCATTGTCTATAATGAAGATGAAGAAGATAATGCAACAAGTACCAATTGCCAACCATTTACATCTTATGGGTCTACAGAAACACTGGAAGAAAATGATATTTAAAGGCTTCATGAGGCTTGAACTGGAGGAGACCAAAAAATGTAAAGACCCTGCAACTCAGCTGAGTTTTTATTGAAATTACAAAGGAACATGCACATGTTTGCATTTGTGTCATTGTTACATAGATGCATGTCAGATGTGAGATCTAATTGATTTTTTTGAAACTGGTGATGGGTGATAAAGGATTTACATTAAGGAAGATAATTTCAGAAAGGGAAGTGTCATTGAATATTTCAGCATTTGTATAAAAAACAAATTTACACTAGAAAATGAGAGAGAGAATGATCAGCACTAAGCAAAAACCAAAAGAATAAAAGAGTATCATCTGTTTCACACACCTATTTCATTTCTGTCAACCAGGTATGGACAGTAGCATGTTCACTACCTAATTTTAATGAACTCATAGTGCAATCATTAACAAAATGTAATAGTCAGTCTTATGTATTATATTGTTTTTATATGTATATATAAATTGGTTTTCAATAAAAAAAAGGATAATAAAAACAATATAATATTAGGAAGTATTAAAGTTTAGTCTTTATTAAAATTTTGAAATAAATAAGAAAATTCATTCTTTCTCTGTTATCTATGGCATTTCCCTTAATTATATTGCGCAACCAGTTGCTGGTAGTACTGGAAGTACAAATTAAAATTCATAAAGGACATGTACATGTATACATAGAATTTGGCTAGGCATTAGTTTATTCCAGAAACTATGGTAAACGGTCTTTATAACTGAGTCAATAAATGTTTGATATATACCACCCAATACACATCTGATAAAGATTTTCCACAGGTCATTAGGGGCTTATCTGTAAGATTCAATTTGCAATTACCTTTATGTTGGCATCAAGAATCCACAAATAACAGAACAACTACGATTATATAATACAAGATACCACAGATTTATATCTATAAACCTTATATTATGTTAGGAAATATCTTTATGACAGCAAAATTGAAACCGAAAGTAAAAAATCTCTCACCTCTTAAACCATAAATGAATACCTCATAAATATAGTTGAATTCTTTATAGAGGAATTACCTTTAGTTTGATAAATATATAACTCTACAAATGAGAAATTAATGTTAGGAACCAAAGATAAGTCAATTTCATTGTATACACAGCTTATACTGGCTTATTAGCTTGCCAGTTACGCCTGGTTCTGGTTCATGTTCTAAAAATAGCTGTAGAATATTAAGAATGGTCTATTGTCTATATTTCTGCATTTGAGATTTCATTGTACAAGCATTGAATCCACCCCCTCCCTTAAAAAGTTTCGTTCCAAGTAGACCTAGTGCACTTTTTCCGTTACCAGTTTTCCTTACTATAATTTCTTTTTTCTGATTTGGGCCATTCTGGAATATAAAGCGTAACATATAAAATATTGATGAAAACTTAACAATTTATATTAAGTTGGTACCATAGCATAGAGACAGTTTTAACCAATTATTAGATTTATACAAATAAGCACCAACACAGCGAAAACTAAACACATGAAAATACAATTTTTTATTGTCTCTTGCATGCTTGTTATTTCCAAAAAGCTTATATCACATCATAACATAAAAGTGCACAATACATCAATTAATATAACTATATGCAATCTTTAGATACGAAATCAAATGGAATCAAAAGACATATCTTATTTTATCTTATCTTAAAAGACCAACCATTTTCTGATACCTGACAAAGTTTAATTACTTTAATAACCATGCCAACGTTAAACTGTTACCATGTGCACTCCTAACATAAAAAATATATTCGCTCAAACATTTATCAACTAACTCTCTTTTCATTTTACCAGTCAATAATGTGATATTACTTCACTTTTGTACTCAATATATCTAGCCCTGTTTTCATTTTCCGAGCCCAAGAGATCAATAAAATATAACTTACATATAACTCTTTCTTATTTTCATAGTCAAAAATGTCGATATCGAATCATTTTACTCCAAGTGACAATATATCGAATCCTTATTGTACTCGGAGTGAAATTGTCAAAACATTGGTATTGAGCAATACTGTGATTTGATTATACTTTGTTGAGAACAAAAAACGATTTTATTGCACTTATATTCATACGCAAATCCTATATTAGACTCAGACCTGAAACGTATACTTAAGCATGAATAAAGTTTCTTTCTCACATAAATTATCTCATAAAAATACAAATTTTGAAATTTCCGCTTTCATATATCTTTAGAATTCAAGATGGCGTCCAATATGGCCGCCGGTTTTATGCAAGACTGATCAATACATCTCTATTGGACGTAGAATAATTTGTAGCACAGATTTATATATAATTAAACAGACATAATTAAGTTCAAATTAAACAGTTTCATATACATGTATAACCTACACTCATATGATTATATTTCTATATGATTATATTTACATTATATCAGAGCAATAAATATTTAAGTATTACAACAAAAAACACACTGATATATTTGTTTACATATTTCAATTTCATTTGAGCTATCATACTGACATTGTCGGATAACCACGGATGATTAAAATGTAACATGACATAACTGATAAATTTTAATGGTTCGGCTGTGGGAATCCGACAATGTCATACTGATAATGCAATGAACATGTAATTATATAAGGTATTCAACCTAGTATCACACATCTTACCGAAACGAAATATAAGCTATGTAAATTAAACAATACTGATCGTTTATTAAGAGTTCACTTATCACAAACTAAACAATCGTATATAAATCTAAAAGCACTTTATGGAGAGTTCATATCTATGCCATACAAATCAAAATACGAAGATTTAAAGATCCTGTAGGTTTTGGTCAAAGTGGTAAACCACACATACTGATTTTTTTTATATGTTTATAATTATGCAAAATAAAACAATTTTCAAACATCGAAAAATAGGTTTATTAAGAGTCAGTTATCGCAAACTAAACAATCGTATATAAATTCACAAGCACTTTTTTGAGAGTTAATATATGCCATATATATCAAAATACGAGGATTTAAGATAGTTCTTAAACACGTCTCGCTGTTACATCCTTTCAGAAAGTTACTAAGTTCGCGACTTTATCGTCTCAAGAAAAGATATTCGAGTCTTCTTAAGTGAAAAACAATTAGAGATTACATGGAGATTTAGGTCACTTGTTAGAAAACCACATTGCATGTTTTTAAATGACTTTCCTTTGCTTCAACAACACAATGTCATACATACTAATCTATCTCGATTACTATAAATACAACCCAGACAGTTGTCCCTTGAAGCGTTGATTTCTTTTGTATTTGCAAAACTTTCACAGTGCTTGTGATCTGATCTAAAACAAGGCCCGGCATCTTCAGTTTATTTTGCCTCAGGCTTGGGATAAATTACAATGAAATGTAATGCATTACATTACAATTACATTGATTATGTGTATGGCAAATGATATGTTTTACATTACATTACATCTGCTTGTATTTTCAGCACCAATAGAGTTTCAAATGTATCGCCACTGAGATGCATTCCGCCTGGCTTAAAGGCCCATTGTTCCTCATCTATTTATTTCTAAAAATCGTTTTATTGTTGGTATCTTTATTGTTACTGTTTCTAGAAAATACTTATTTGACATTTACAGGACCTACATTTTGGTTCTGTTTTTCTGTTGGTTATTATTATAAAGAACTAATATTTTATGTATTGAAGTCAAATTGGTGTACAATTTAAATCAAGGTCTGAGCTTATAATTTGTTTGCATATTCTCGGGTCATTACCTCATCCTGTTTGTCCAGAATTATAATAATTTCATTCCGCAATATACTAAAAAATAAAAATCGTTGCAACGCTTTTCACTCAAATCAGGCTAAGAACCGCCCAGAAATGGATTTTCAATTCAATGTTTAGCACATTTATTTGTAATCTTTTGCAGAGTTTACCATTTTAAACGTACACTTCATATTTTCAAATTGTATGTTTTTAGGCATTTTGACATCAGTGGAGATCTTTTAATTAATACATAACATGTATATATGAAGAATGATGTCCTTGTTATGTTTAACGATACTTTATACTAAATGTTTACAGTTCACATGATTTATGTCATTCAAATGGTCAGATATCAGATGTTGTAAGATAACTGTTTTTGGATTTATTTTGATGTCCTATCTAGAGATGTCTGTATTAGTTGATATGCCTTTATCTGATACATTTAATGTGAGATAATCGGAGAGTTTGCTTTATTTTAAATCGAAAACCATACCTATTAGGACATTCACAATAACATACATACAGAAAGGTAATATCCAATTGTATTTTTTTGTGTTTTATCATTCGCTACATCGGTGCATTTGCATGTATTATGTTGAGCAAGTAGCTTAAATAAAACAAATTATCGGGCAATAGTGTCTGTGACTAAATACCAACTTAGTATAAATTGTTCAGGTTTCACCAGTATTTTATATGTTTCGCTTTAAAATTCCAGAATGGCTCAAACCAGCAAAAGAGTAATAATAGTTGGGAAAACTGGTAACGGAAAAAGTTCACTGGGGAACAACCTACTTGGAATGAAACGTTTTTCCGAAGGGGGTGGATTCAATGCTATTACAATGGCATGTCAATCGGAAAAATATAGACATTTCGAAATTGTTCATACGCCAGGATTGTTCTACACCAATCAAAACCGAAATGTGGCTCGACAAGCCGAACAAATCGTGCATGCTTTGAAACTTTGCCCGGCACCACATGCATTCCTCATCGTCATCAAATATAATAGATTCACAGCAGAGGAGGTTTCTGCTTTGGATGTGTTGCAAATAACATTCGGAGAGCAATATTTAGATCATGCCATTGTCGTGGTTACTCATGTAGAGAATGATGTAACTGACGCCGATTTTAGCAATGCCTGTCGGGAATCATACCAGATGAATGAGTTACTGAAACGCTGTGGGAAACGGGTTGTTAGATTCAATAATAGGAATCCGAAAGAAGAGAATATCAATACTCTACTCCAGTACATAGATCAAGTATCGAAAAATGGAAATTCATGCTTCAAAAATGATTATCTAAGCTGCCATGAGAAAGTGTTAAGAAGACATGCTGATCTAGATAGGTATGACGGTATGCTGGCTCATGAGCAGTTGGAACCAATCTTAAAGGATATCAAAACTATGGTTGTCAGAGAACAAGAAAGAGAGAAGAGGGAAAGGGAAGAAAAAGAAAGACAACAAAAGGAAAAGGAAAAACAGAATATCATAAATTCTGCAAAAACGATTTTTACATTAGGAGCTGGAGTTGGATTAGGAGCTTTAGGTTTCAAGCTGTATTCTAAATATTCAAAGTATTTACCATCCTTCACTTAATACATCAATAGATATACAAGTATTAATACAGTATTTACTTATTGAAGTGAACACTATGTTTTGAAGAAAGCTGAAAGTACAAAATGTATATCTGTTGACGATCTTTGGATTTGGTTGATCATAAGAATTCTTTTACTGTTTCTGGTTAAAAGATATATTTTCAATCGTAATTTACCGCAAATGACTTTATTTTCCATTTGATAAAACAAAACATGTAAATACATTCATCACACATCATAATTTTGCCTTAAAAAATATTCAGGAAATAAGGGGCATAAATTTGTGAATAACTTGACAGTTTCTGAGAAAATTGACCCGCACAAAGAGGATGAACTGGGCTTAAAGTTGACAAAGGAGCATGTATTTGCAATAATATATATCGTAGGATTCCCTATCCTTATGGCGTTCTCTGAAGACAATAAACATGTATGTAAAGTTTGTAGTCAATAACTTTTACAGTTTCTGAGAAAATGGACCTTAAAGAAAAAGGTTAATCGACGAGAGTGTCATGACAAAAAAATCTTCTCCTTTTTCTACGAAAAGTGGAGCTTTATAATTATAACTATACAGTACACTTACGCCAAGGGGAAGCATGCCATCTCTATTATTTTCATGTTCTTGGAAAAGTTAAGATTTCTTTAGAACAACCTTGAATCTGGTCTCATATATTAAGATGCTTTTTTTTTACTTTTGTTCATGTTCGCTGGTGACATGTCAGATGACTTGGGTCTTAGAAAGTGTAATAAAAAATCCAAAATAATTTTTGTTGGGTCTAACCCATAATAGATCTGGTAAGTAGACAGTGATTTTAGTTTTCTTAGAACTTTTTTTAATTATACTGGTAGCATTTTATCAAACAGAAATAAACTATTACACATTTAACTACTAGAGCTATCGTTGAATGCAAATAATGTCCCTATCCCGTTGATGTCATCAATATAGAGGGTACAGTTGTGGCAGAAAGATACATGTAAAAAGAAATTTATCAATTCACTCGTGACCATTTTATACATTTTCAAGTAAGTCCAGGTTTTAGAAATATTAATAAATATAAATGTTGATAACTGTTAATTACAAACGGACATTATTTTGTCAAAGATGTAATACAGAGTTATGTAAATTGACCTGCTGATCTTAGTTGTTTATATCCCTCCACATCCATGTGGAATTAATATGAATGTTTCATAATTAGATAAATTTATCTCCGTAAAAGTGTACATATACATTTAACATATTACTGTAAAACAGATGCATTATAAAACAAGCAAGCTGTATTGAATTGACATGTAATTATACTAATAAAATGTAGAAAAAGAAATGACAGTATATTTCTCCTTATTTCCGGTTTGGTCGCTGTCATTGACTGCAAGACACAGAAAGTTGTGTACAAGTTTTGCAACAAAATAATGATAATTTACATGGTATAAGTCATATGTATGTATCACAGAATAGTTATTGTAATATCGATATCATACAGATTGTATCACACACAGTTCAAGATTCAACAAAACACAAAAAATCGCTTTCTAGTTCCAACGGGTTAGTTGGTCAATCAGCTTTTTATTATATCTGTTTTTTTTTTGTTTTGTTTTTTTTTATTGGGTTTTACGTCACAGCGACACAGTATAGATCACATGACGACGTTCCAGCTTTACTGGTGAAGGAAGACCTCAGGTTCCTTTCCGTACATTATTCAGGCACGAACGGACACTCGAGTAGTAGAACCACAGATGTTCCGTAAGCTATCTGGATAGCGTCCTCACATGAAAGAATCCAAAGTCCCTGTCGTTTGCCCTTTGTGTTTCTTTCCTGAGTTAAATATCGCGGGAACGAGATAGCAATGTTTTTCTGAGTCATATCTCGTGACCACGAGATATGGAGGTAGGAAAATAAAAGTAAATCGGAATGTCCCCTCTGTAGCATTTAAATTGAAAAAAATGTTTGATTCCTTGATACGGTGGCACAAAGGTGACATTTGTGCGTTTTTATTTATCTCGTGCGCGCGAGATACTATGTAATGACCACGAGTTACTAAGTCGTGACCACGAAATAATTAACTGGTACCAAGGAGATACTATGTCGTGGCCACGAGGGGCTAAGTCGTGGCCGCGAAGTACTTAAGTGGTGCGCACGAGATACTATGCTGTGTTTCGAGTTATTAATTCGTGGCCACGAGATAATTAAGTGGTCCGCAATCGTGGTCATTTTGCACAATCGAAAAAATAAAAACTCTTGCATCTACATTTGTTTCTCAAGAAACATATCTACATGCTAGCACAGTTTTAATAAAATCCATCTTGTATTTTTAATAATGGTAGCATTCAGAAGTTTGCAAGTGCGGACAGACGGGCAATTAATGGTACAAGCTGACAATATACCGTCTTCAAACTTTGTTTGGCAGACTTGTTTTGTTCACTTTATATTTTGGATTTTTTCATTGTCACCCGACATTGTATAGTACGCACAGGTCTCTCTAATCGACCTGTGTCGCACGACGCGTTATCCACTCCAATTTGGGGTAAACATGACATAAAGATAAAGATGACAGGGATATGGAACAGAATTAATGCATTTATTCCATCTTGCTTTATGATATTTAAACTTTGCATTATGCTGGATTCCATTTTTCATTATTTCATTCAAACATTTCTAAGTGACCAATTCTTTCATTGAGGGATAACTATTAAAACTGGAACAAGCCATTTGGAATACTAAAATGTTAACGTCATATACCTTTACGCATAAGCTACCTTTCTTCATTTACGGTTTAGTTTTTTTTGTATTACTTTGATGTAGAAGTCATTTAAAATTGACTATTTTTTGTTCACTGATGAATTTTGTCAAAACGTGACTTATTTGATTTATAGCTCGCATGGCGTGATTACTATTAGCTTTCGCTTATATCCATTATTGCTTAATAAAGCTCGGTGTCTGAGGCTTTGTGGATTATGTTTGATCATCTTACATTATGATAAACAATTCAATCTATATCTAGCGATGTGTGAACTGTTAAGGGGCGAGAACTCTGTTATCGATATCAACGGAATTTTTCCACGATTCGCCTATGATCGGAATTTTCCGTACATGTATATATAAATACGTACTAAGCGCTTAATACATAAATTGCAGTTGAAAGAATATAAATACAAGTAGTAAAGGATAATGCAATATAATTATATATATGTATACAGTCTATTAGAAAAAAATATGCTCGTAGACAGTTATTCAATGGGGCAGTTATACGTACAGTGGCGGATTCAGGCCCTGGCTTAAGGGCTGCACCTACCCCCAAATATACGTTCATGAGCTGGGATGGAATATATACGTGTCAGTTTCATGCAAAAGTCTTCTTAATGTACTCCCTTACCAAAACATATTATGCTGTCATGCAGTTGTTAAGCACCTGCCTAGGTACTGCGAAGGTCTTTATCTAATGACTTGGACATTAAAAAGCAGCAAAAATTATTGGCATTTTAACTTAATAAATGTCTCAGAGTCACTAATAGTGGCGAATAGGTATGTAACACATTAAAATATACATGTTTAATAATGAAAGAAGGAAGTTGTTTATTTTTGTAACATGTGCATAGTCAATTACAAATGAGCCGCGTCACGACAAAACCAACATAATGGGTTTGCGACCAGCATGGATCCAGACCAGCCTTCGCGTCCGCGCAGTCTGATCAGGATCCATGCTGTTCGCTATCAGTTTCTCTACTTGTAAACGAGTTGGAAAGCAATTAGCATGGATCCTGATCAGACTGTGCTGGTCGCAAACCCATTATGTTGGTTTTGTCGTGACGCGGCTCAAATGTTGGGCATATGTGTGTCTGATTATAGATCAGACATCCCGCACACACCACCACATTCACATATATTTGTGCTTAATGATATACTATGCACATCTTTCAGTAACATATTTTTATCACAGAAATTTATTGAAATCTATAAAATTCTTACTAAATATATATTTTTTAAATAAAAACAAATACACATAATGTATAGGAATCTGCTTTACTCTGTTTACGGGTAAAGTAAAGTTGTGCCTGTCTTTAAAAGAAACTTCCATACATTTTTTTGTAATAACACTATACATGTATATGCATACTGCCCACTTACAGTGTAAAGGATTTAAAGCACAATATTTGTGTGAAGCTAAATTATATTTATTTTATTTTACATGAAAAAAAAAATCAAGTTTGTACTGTACTAAGTCGTGGCCACGAGTTACTAAGTCGTTTAAGTCGTGGGAACGAGATAACTATGTCGTGCAGGCGAGATAATTAAATCAGATTACACCATGATTTTCTAAACTTAGAAAATTTCTGTTTAAAGATTTACGTGTAACATTAATCTTTGAAAATACTGAAGTGTCACTTTGAACTTGATACATGTATTTAGGATCATAAGGCCCATAAATCAGACATTAATTTTGACTAAGTTATAGCCCTTTGTTGGGACAATTCTATGATAGAATTGGTCATTTTGTACGTACAACGGCCTGTTAACATTGTTTATACCATAACTTGACTGGGACTTAGTCCTGGTTTATTTTATTGGGTAGGGACATTGCCCGTGGACAGTAGATATCCCATAAGGATGTTTGAGGTCACGGGTCAGATAAACATGACACGTCATGTAAAATCCTTGTCTGATAAATGATTTAGAAAGAATAAGCCGTAGTTTATATAACCTAAAAAGATCAGTAGATGACACCTAATAATTTTTAGGCAATTTGGTCAGAAATGAGGGTCACAATGACGCTAAATCTTTGACCAATCAATAACTTGTATAAATGGCACTTTTACGGACAGGAGAAGAAGGGGCATCCTTGTTAGGAAAATTCATATAAATAGTGTAATTTGATTGGTTATTTATCTCTTTCGCACGACTTAACTTCTCGTGGCCACGACTAAACTTTCTCGTGGTCACACGACATGGTAACCTTGTTCCAACGACTTATTTATCTCGTGGCCACGACTTAGTAACTCGTGGCCACCGACTTTGTCATTTCGTTTCCCACGACTTAATTATCTCGTGGCCACGACTTAGTAACTTCGTGGCCACAACATAGTATCTCGGTTCTCACGACTTAACTATCTCGTGGTCACGACTTAGTAACCCATGGCCACGACACAGTATCTCGTGCGCACGAGATAAATAAAAACACACACATGTCACCTTTGTGTCACCGTAAGTTTGATCATAGTATATCTTAAAATTCAATTTCAATATTGCTCATACGACTATTACACACGCTCAAAAAGAAGTGTAAACAATTGTATAAGAGGTGAGTTGCCACTTGTAGGATGAGTTATTAGAGAAATCTATAACATTTTTTTCCACAAGCTGGCGGAATCTTCAAAAACACGCACTTTTCGTCTGTCGCATCGTGTCCTCTTGTTTTTCAGTAAATTTTCCCTTTTCAT